ACACCCCCGAGTCCCTGAAACATCAAGTGCCACCCAGATACAGCCTCGAAAGGGAAGCGCCACCCGGAAACAGGCCTCTGTGGCCAAGCGCCACTCAGAGGATGAGAAGAAGACCAGTGCCACAGTATCTCATGATGACGAAGCGTCGGAAGACTTCCCGGATGGAAGTCTGCAGCAGGGCCACCAACTCCTGACAAGATGACCTCTGAGGAAGACGCTGCAGCTATGGCTGCAGCGTCACAACCCTGGAACCCCACTCCGGAGGAGGGTCCAGCAGGGCACCAACTTCTCTCGCCTCCAGCAGACCTCGATAACCCAGACCTCTGACAGGCCCTACGTGCTGGAAGAGTACAGCGCAGGTCCCAACTCTGGACGGCGCTCCAGAGGTCTGGCTATGCCTGTCTCCTTCCACGCTGAGCCGTCACCACTTCCGGTTCACGCGTAGCACAGCAGCAATGTAGTCGGTAATACTGCCAAAAGCCCTGAATCGATGTGCCCATCCTATCTATAGGCTAAAACTAGCCTAGACTCGACCTAGACCGGACTGACGGACTGACCGGTACCGATTCAGTTTCGGTCTCTCGGCCTCTACCTTACTTGGCTATAGGCTTAGGACCGTCTACCAGCATAGGCCTGTAGGGCCTGTCTGTCTTAGGGGTAGCCCGGGCCTGCTATTTGCAGTTAGGTTAGCCAGGAAATTCAGTTAGTACGGGCCTGTATTTTCCCATATTTACAGATATGTCCCTAACAAATTTTCTTTACAGGCAGCGCACACGGTTAGCCCTCAGCCAAACAAAATTAGGAATCTGTCCTACCTATAGTACGGCCTCGACAGAGAGAGGCTACAGGCGACCAGAAAACAGCAAGTCATTGCACAGGCAATTCCAAATGACTTCGGGGAATCATCGTGAAGCAAATGGTCAAACGGAACAGGTGAACCGTGTGGTGCAGCATCTGCTGAGGCATTACATAAAGCCCAGCCAAGATGACCGGGATGATAAATTTCCTCTGATCGCCAGTCTGTACAATAACGCAGTACACAGCACCACCGTCATGTGTCAACCAGCTGCATTTGGGGTGGAAGCTTGGATCTGCTCTAGGCTTCCTTCTACCTGAGAATCGACCGACTGCAACTCCTGGAACCATTGAATTTGGTGTCCAGTATGAGAAATGGTTGCAGCAGGCTGTTGAGGATATCAGAAAGTCTCAAGAGGCAAAGATTGCCTCTGAGAACAAGCAAATGCGACAGTCCACATTTCAGGTTGGGGAACGCGTCTGGGTAAAGGCTAGTGAACTGGGACAGGATTTTGGCATCTCTAGGAAGTTAATGCCGCAGTAGTTTGGTCAATGGGAAGTCCTAGACATTGTGGGTAGTGATCTAGATGGTCCCTCGTACGTCATCAGAATCCCTGAGTCATCTGCGCACTTACCCTGTATTTCACGCTTCCAAACTTGCACCTTTTGCTGAGAGAGATCTGTTCCCAACAAGAAGGTCAATGCTGCCCCCAACCATGGATGGCCACATGGGTGTCGACGACATCTTGGAACACAGAGGTTTGCCTGTTCCCAGGCCTGCTGGCAGGGGTAGACCGCCCAAACCTATGAGGAGTACTTGGTCAGGTTCAGGCATCGTACGGATCCAGAAGAAGATAGTTGGTTCACAAGACAGGAGCTTTGTCAAGACAGCACCTCAGATCGTGGCTGAGTACGAACGAAGACTGAAGGGAAAGATGCCTGTGTAGAAGGATCCCAGCGGGCTTTTGAAGCTAAGGGGGATAGAATGCGAGGAATGAGCCTCGCGGAGCCCTTATCAGACATACGAGTACCCACATATGGAAAAATTGTCGAGAACAGGCCAGTCGCCTGAGCCCTGGGCTCAACTGTACAGCGGAGCCCTTTGCATCTGGAAAGAGCC